GGCCACCCTGCGGAGGAAGCTCATTTTGGCCGCCTGTATCCAGGATCTTGCCCTTTCGGTCATGACCCAAAGCTCATGACCATAGCATTAGTTCAAAGGGATAAATTTTCTGCAGCTGTGACTTCACTGTGTTTCATTTATTTATGATGTGAATTTGGGTTGTAACCATGGACATATATACAGTGGACATAGCATCACTACTTCCCTCCACTATGCAAAAATGAAGCCAAAATACCGTGAATACGGCAGCTGCCATCTTGCTTTTTTCAACCAGATTCAGCACAGTAGCTACCAGAAATGGAGTGACAGCATTAGACCACCAATCAAAGCTGTCAAAACTTTAAAAATACACCCATTTTGTATATAAGCAAATAACTTAATAACAACAAACTTGCTAGAAAAATAACCACTTGTACACACATCAGTGTGATAATATCTACCAAAAACCACAGAAGTGACCGCTTGGAAAAATTGATTTGATTTGTATTTTGAGTTTTTTAGTTTGGCTCATGTCCCATCCACTAACATGGAGGAGGCAAGATTTATGGCTTATACTGCAACCAGCCACCAGAGGGGGATCATGTAGCGGCGGTGTCACTTCTGGAAGCCTGTCCAACGTTTTTACAATCAATGAGATTAACTGGATGGAGAGGCACTTTAATTAGTTGTCTGTTACACTTTAAAATAATCAACACAAACAAAGAGGCTTACTAAAAATTATCCTTTGTGAAAATAGAAATGTTTGCTTCTGCAGCTTCACATCTGACAAGTGACAACTGTAACCGTCTTTAGTGAGCATCTGAAAGGTTTTCAATCTCTAATGTGCCTTTCATTTTAAAAGGAACATAGCTGTACCTATTCGGCATCTCTTTCCATTGTTTTATTCACCTCCTACTTCTCAGATGACTCGCAAATGTCACATTCATAAGTGTAGCCATATAAAGTATTAGTGTTGAATACAATTAACTTTTTTGAGAAAATTATTTTCCATATTTATTTGCGACTCTCAGACATCCTGCACCTTACTCAGCATTAATAGTCTCTCATGCTGAGATGAATGACTGTTTCAAAATAGAAAAATATTTTTATCTCAGAGGAACTGTTTGTAAAGTGTAAAAAGACAAAAAGATAAGGACTTTTAAAAAGTAAAATAAAATTCTATTTTGAAGGACTTGCAGTGAATTCTGCATAAAATGTGTAAATGTCCTTATCAGCTGCCAGGTACTCAGTATTGTAGCACTACAGTGTGCATGTTTAGTGCAGTTCATGTTATGTATTTTTTGTAACTTCTGTAGAAACTTGTATTATAGACTGAGAAAAAGGGAAAAGGGTTATTCTGTCAATTGTAATTTAAAAAAGAAATGAAAAATGTGGTCATAGCAGTATTTGGACATTTGCTTTGAATTCTGTGGTCACATGCTTTATATGAACTTCAGTTCATATAATCTGTGGTCACATGCTTTATATGAACTTGAACATATTGTGGAGCAGTCTGGGTAATTTAAGTCCCATCTGAAGTGTCAGTTCCACTTACAGTACAGCAAAAACTGGGAAATATCACTTTATAAATATAATGTAGCGAGTTGAACCTTAAATTATGGTTACATACACATTCAACTGAAATGCTGTGTAAACACATACAATAAAGACACCACTGAGTGAAAGAGTGGATGTGTATGTCATTCTTCATTGCTTTCACTTCTGAGCCCTTGTATACACAGTAGATCATGTGGGTGTGTCACTACTGACCAACCTTTAGAGCTATCAGGTGCCATAAAGTGCACAACTGCTGCTCTCTTTACTTATGCAGGTCACTATTTAGTCTTTTCTTTTAGTTTCAGTGATTTATGTTTATACTGTCCATGTCCGTGGCCAAATCAATGACTCTACTGTGAGGGGCTGGGTCCCCTCCCTGTTGGCATGTCATGATCACTCTGGAGGAGAAGATGCTGCAGGGATACACACGCAAGCTGTTTCCCTTTGAGAAGGGAGAGCACAAGTCTCAGCAAGTCCTGGGAATCAGCTCAAGAGGGCAGGTAGGTGCACTGTAGCACCTGCAGCATGACCACAAAGATCAAATGTTCAAAAAAGATTTTTATAAAAGTAAAAAAGAACACGTAAAAGTTTATTGATGTCTCTATCATGTTATTTGTTTTGTCAGCTCCTTGCCTTCGAACATGAAGACAACATACTGAATGAATCCAGTGCAGTGTGTTTTATACCTAGAGGTAAACACTGTATAACAACCTCACTAAGACAGCAGAGAGTACGGCATATTTAATATTACTGTACTGTATATTGATTAGTGAATGGATCTTTATGTTTTCATTTATTTACTTGTGATAGAATTAGTTCAAGTCTCAGGGCAACAAGCTGGTTCCTGAAAATCCTGCAGAACTCGGACTGATGCACCAATGTATGATGGAGGGCCTCACCGATAAACTCAGTAACATACACTCATACACACATAATAGCAGAACACAGAAAAACACTATGGACACCTTCACGCACACTACACTGATGCTCATGTTGGATGCTCTGTCTTAGATTCAGTCATCTACTATGAATGGTTTGTCCCTGAAGAAGAGAGACATGACTGCTGTGAAGAGAAACAGGGAGATTCTGGCCACTGAACTCACACTGTGGGAGGGTTACCTGCAGAAGGCAGTGTATAAACAGCATACACACAGGCACACATACATACCCACACTGTACTGGCAGCAATGTTTCTCCCCATTTACTGTTTGCATCAAGGTGACAGCAGGCTCGTACCTGGCCGGGACCTTCTCATTGACTGATGTGTTCGTCTTTCAAAACATCGCTTGTGCTTTTTGTTTTGGATAGGTGGCTGAGTTCAGAAGTGCTTGCCAAAAGAACAGGCTCAGCATGCTTTGTTTTGCAGTGATGTTATGGTGTAATCTTGTGTCTTCTTTTTAGGCTGTCTGTTGGACATTACCACAAACTGGCTAAATATTATAGCCTGCTGAAGGACAGGGCCAGCATTAAAGCCAGCTGGCCCCCACATTGGCTGGCCAGACCACAGGGTTATGACATCCTTAAAGACCTCTGAAACACTCCAGCATCGCCTTCACAGTTTTATTGTATCCGTGTAGGTTTATTTAATGGTAAAAATTAAAAAATGTGTTTAAGTTTTCAATTTTTTGCAATGAATGCATTTCTTTATAAAGAAAAAAATTGGATTTGTGGTAGAGGGAAAGACTACATGATGTATTCCCATCACCCAGCCAGTAGGTGGCATTATGCACCTTTCTTATAGCTTGAAATTCACATGAACTGTGGGAAGAATAACATCGTAAAACGTCAGGTAGTAAACAACGTGTTGCATTCTAGGATTGATAGAGGGTCTCACAGGTAAAACGACAGTACGGTGATGTGAAAATGGCTTGTCTGCCACAAATATTGTGGCAGGAGAAGAACGTTTGGGGATAAAACCCAAAACTGCTCGCCTTTGAGAAAATGGAGCACAAGTCCCAAGAAGTATTAGACATAAATCCCAGGGTAAGAGTTGGCTGCAAACCCCCATCATAACCAGTAACTGTAGTAGGCACACTAGTAGGATATTTAACCTCAACTTTACCCTGATATACATGCTGCTTCCCACTAAGGTACGCAAAACTCCATTCAAAACTTAAGGCATTTAATCATTTCCAGCCTGATGGCAAACAAGCATACCTAAAACATGAACACAAGATTTGACAAGTCACAGATATGGAATATTTAATTTGGTCTATATTCAGTTTATCAAGCAGAGCTGTCTTCAGTAATTATAGGTGCTTATTATTTTTTAATATTGAAATGACTTTTCCACAAACACCATTGGTTATCTGGCATGTATTTTACCAGTAAATAAATTAAGAGTTGCCAGCTCAAGCAAACAAGTGCACTAATCTTGCAGTAAATTATATACACTGTTATTCTGAGCTGGATAACACATGAACTGTTATAAACAGATTTCAGCCAGCCTCCATGTTTTATTCTAAGTCCCTGTGTGATACAGCACAACAGTACAGTATTGTTCAAAATAATAGCAGTACAATGTGACTAACCAGAATAATCCAGGTTTTTAGTATATTTTTATTGCTACATGGCAAACGAGTTACCAGTAGGTGCAGTAGATTCTCAGAAAGCAAACAAGACCCAGCATTCATGATATGCACGCTCTTAAGGCTGTGCAATTGGGCAATTAGTTGAAAGGGGTGTGTTCAAAAAAATAGCAGTGTGGCATTCAATCAGTGAGGTCATCAATTATGTAAAATAACAGGTGTGAATCAAGTGGCCCCTATTTAAGGATGAAGCCAGCACTTGTTAAACATGCATTTGAAAGCCTGAGGAAAATGGGTCGTTCAAGACATTGTTCAGAAGAACAGCGTACTTTGATTAAAAAGTTGATTGGAGAGGGGAAAACCTATAAAGAGGTGCAAAAAATTATAGGCTGTTCAGCTAAAATGATCTCCAATGCCTTAAAATGGAGAGCAAAACCAGAGAGACGTGGAAGAAAACGGAAGACAACCATCAAAATGGATCGAAGAATAACCAGAATGGCAAAGGCCCAGCCAATGATCAGCTCCAGGATGATCAAAGACAGTCTGGAGTTACCTGTAAGTACTGTGACAGTTAGAAGACATCTGT